AAGACACACCCACGGGGGCCCATAATGTCACAACCAATACAGAGACAACAACAACAACAAAAACCAAGAATTTCACCCTAAAGGATCACCCAGTGGAATCACGACCAGGTAGGAACTGACGGACTTTCTGGGGAACCTTAAGCCTCAAACTTTGCTCCAAATGCTCATGCACCAGAAATTAACCCAGCGGCCAGGCAGACAGAGGGAAAGCCAACAAGCAGGTTCCTTTAAGGTCTGGGACCGTAGCGTGTCATTTACTTTAGTGCGGGTTCTGAGGAACCTGAGGAAATAACGGGTCAACCCCAGCATCAGAGGTGGGACCTGGTCATCCTCCTGCCCTGGGGAGTGGCCTCAGGAAGATCACAGAGCCCTTCCAGGAGGGCTGGGTGGAGGAAATGGGCTGGAGGACATGTGCTCTGGGACCAGCAGGGGGCGCTGGTGCACTGGGACTGAGAGCTCAGGGCTCTGGGCCAGGCAGCTAGGAACACACTCTACTGGCCCCTGCACACTTGGGCAGGCAGGTCCTCACTCAAGTGTGACTTCCCTGCACCTGGGGCCCAGGAGCCACATGAGCCCTCAGCTCTGACACCCACACTTGTCTCCTATCCCACCCCTCCCTCATGGAGTCATTGTCCAGGCCTCATTCACAGGCAAAGAGAGAGAAGCAATCACACAACAAAAAGTAATAGTTCTAATATGTAAATGATTGGCTACTGATTCCAACATAAACACCATAAATCACAGTGTCATTTCCCCTCTCATGGACTCCAGTGTGTGCATTACCTTCCCCAACGACTGGAGACATGTTGTCCCCTGCTCATCCCCTTACATTTCTCCATCCCTCCCATTCTTCCTGCCCCTCAGGGAAAAGGACTTTAAACTGTTTAGTGATGTTTACACCAACTCGCTCACACTGTGTTGATCTCATTTCTGATCATGACATACATGCTTCTATTTCGTTATATCAGATATTAATCAGTTTCTCACAATATCATGGTGACATTTTCTCCTCAAAGCTGTATTTCATTGAAAGGTATCCCATATAATGGATGGCTTCCTAGAACAAAAGAGAGTGGCCACCCCTGCCTGGCAGGGCAACTGTCTGAGTCAGGAGCCCCAACCCTGGTCCCTAGACCTCTTTTCCTGGGACGGGAACTAACATGGTTGGACAGAGGACTCACCGCTGGAGGGAGGATTGACTGCTAAGATCCTCCAAAGAAGACAAGGAGGGGTTTCCTGAGGAAGGAAGCAATGATCCTAAGGGTGGGTTTGGATTGGGATGAACTACATTGCTGGAGCCAGGAGGGGGCAGACATTCCCACCTCATCCTTCAGCCTCAGACCCTCCAGGGAAGGAAGTGAGGACTGTGGTCACCAGGACACCAGGGCACTGACTTGGTGACAGACCTCCACCCCCTCTCTCAGCATCTCAGTTAATGTGGAGTGTATTGGTCTGTGTGAGGGGCCCAGAATCTGCCTCTTTTGAGATCCCCCAGGGGACAGCAGGGTGACCCTGGGGCAGGACTAGAGGGGAAGCTGATTTGCATGAGGCACCTTCTCCCCTAATGGGTCTGGGAGGCATGAAAAGGCCCAGGACTCCCCACTGCAGCCCAGGAGCCTGAGGAGCCACATCCTGTGAGTGTCCCCACCATGGTCTGGACGGTGCTTCTGCTCCAGCTCCTGGCGCACAGCTCAGGTCAGAGGAAGGGCCTCTGCATCCTTGGGGGACACAGAACAGCAGGGCCTCAGGGTGACCTTCGTCCCTCATAACACCTGTCTCTCTCCTGTTGGTTTCAGGGGTGGATTCTCAGACTGTGGTGACCCAGGAGCCATCAATGTCAGTATCTGCAGGAGGGACAGTCACACTCACCTGTGGCCT